ATTTTGTTATATATTTTATAACATAGTTGAGAACCATCCTTAAAGTTAGGTATAAAAAAATCCTGAAACCTAAAAATGTATTGGTGATTAAAAAAAAACAAAAACACATTGTTTTAGCCTTTTCATGTCTATTCTTGTCATTTTAGTCCTGGTGTCCTCTACAGAGGACATAGCATAACATGAATATAATATCATTTTTCAAAAATGTCATTTTACCATTTTTTTTCTTATGCTCTAAACAATGTAATGACATCAAAAAATACTAAATTCACAAAGCTTTTTATTTCTGGTTCTCAGGAGGATATATATATATATATATTTCTTGTAAGCAACTTTCTTGATCAGAATCAACAGTCTTTTATTAGTAAATAAAGTACATGCTTTACCAAACCCCAGTACATGCTTTTCCTCTTTTCATCATCAGGATGTAAAAGGATATAAATCAAGATATTAATATGCAAGGATATAAATGGTCTGATGGTCTTTACACAAGTTAGTACTTCTAACTTTCACAGCAAAATGACAACAGTAAAAAAGAAAGTTGGATTATCTTGTAGGGCCAGTGGGGAGATTCCTCAGGGCACATCTATATCTATATCTCTCTATATATATGTATATGTGTGTGTGAGAGAGAGAGAGCTGTGCTTCCAGTGTCATCTTGGGCCCCCTGGACTCTTCCAGCATGACACTACCAGTGGCTCTCTCCTCACTAGGCCCTGTACTTCAGGCTTTACTCACAAAAGAGCTTTTCACACTGTGCATTTATTTTTGCGAGATGGTTACCATCACTTTCAACCATTTAATGAGAACCAGGGTTGGGATGGTGGCTCTCACGACCAGTGCTGAGTGCTGGGTAGATTACTTCCCAATGGTAGTCCAATACTGATTACAAATCACATGACGAAATCTGAAGTTAGTACCATAACCTGGATTACTCATATTAGGTAATGTATTCTGATTACTTTTAGATTATTTTTGACCTGACTTATCACATAGACTTAAATGGAATTAAGGTGTACCATACTAATAAAAAAAATAAAAAATAAAAAAATAAAAAAAAT